TCCAGTGTTGGGATAAACCTGGGGTAGCGGGAGCTGCCCACACTCCACGTCCACTCTCCAGCCTTGACCTGGGGTATGAACATGACAGAAAATTTCCCTGGTCACTGCATGGTCCCCTACCCCGAGCTTCTCCTTACACAAGAGCAGTGATTTCATTTCCTGACAAGAGCAGTGACCTCACTTCCTGACGATGGAGCCCAACAGAACGTGGAACCCTGGTAGCCAGGCAGCCACGTTCTAAAACAGCCCCTACCCAGCTCATTTGATAGAGACATTCCCACCAAGGCATGTTCTGCTGTTTGCTGCAGTCCCGCCACCGTGATAGGCAAAGAGCCAGCCATGACAGCTTCTTCCACTGCTGCTGCTGCTGGCTCCGCACTCAGCCCCGACGCCTCTGGCCCTTTTCACAGGGGAACCCAGAGGTAACCCAGGGAGGCCCAGGGCAGTTTTCTTAGAGCCAGGCCACCACTCTCATCCCCTTCACCAGCCCCGTGTCCCCTGGGGCACCGGCCCCGCAGGGTGCCGGCTTTGACACGGCGTACCTGCAGGCACCATCATAGACTCTGACAGGAGAGAGGAGGGAGCCAGATACCTGCACCCAGGACTTGCAAATAGTGATATTAAAATATTTCTTCTAATTGATTCCCTTTCAATGTGCACGAATTCGTGCACCAGGCCACTAGTCTATAATAATAAAAGCATAATATGCTAATTAACCGGACAGCTGAATAACCTTCCGGATGTCCTTCCAGAGGACCTTCCAGACAAAGCTGGGGCTGTGAGGGCAGAGGCAAGCAGTCATGGCTGTGAGGGCCAAGGCAAGCTGCCGCAGCTGCAAGGGCCAAGCCCCTTGCACAAATTTCGTGCATTGGGCCTCTAGTTTAGTACATAAAAGCAATGTCAAGTATTTCATTAATAACTTCTATGTAGAGACAACCAAGATGGCAGCATAGGTAAACACCTGAACTAGCTGCCGCGTACAACCACATTAAAACACTACAACTAAAAGACAAAATGAATACCATCCAGAACCAAGGGAAGGCTGAGTGAGTGGAAATTCTACAACCAGAAGGAAAGAGAAAAGCACATTGAGTCCGGTAGGAGGTGCAGAGCTGTGGAAGTGTGGAGGTACGGAGGCTCATGCGAAAGGGCTGGCAGCAATTATGCTGTTGTCTTTTTCAACTGGGAGGGAGATACAAGCTCCCGACTGCTCTGAAATCCAGTTCTGGGCAAGAATCTGGATTTATGTGGAGAGAAACTGTACTGTCTGGCATCAGGCCAGAACGTGAGGGCAGCTTTCTCTCAGAGGTGCTTGCAGCGTTCATTGTTCCTGCACGGGGCAAGGGACATAGAGACCGAGGGACCTATGGGGGAGGGCCAAAGGCAATCATTGCTGTTTGCACCACACTGTGACTCCCTGAGACCACGCCCCACCCAATTTATAACCCCACCCAAGCTGTGCACAGAGGCTTTTGCATACTAAAGGCCTGGCCTTTCCCTGCCTAAAAGCCTGTCAAACTGCAGCTGGGTGAGAGAAACCCAGAGCTTCCAAAAGAAGGCCTAAGGCTGTCAGCAGTCTGCATTACTTCACAGCTGCGCCTCATCTGGGCACCTCCAAACCCCAAACAAAGAGAAGGAATCTACAGATCTCTCTGAAGCTCCTGCTGGGTGGCCTCAGGCAGTGGGTGACTTTGCACCCCCTTGGAGATCCAAGAGCCAGTCTACCCAGTGGTCAGAGTGAGACCATCCAGATTACAACTCTTCACATCCATAAGAGACACTCAGGGGGCAGACTCAGTGAGCAGCAAAGCCCCACTGAAGCAAGTCCTGCCCCATAAGGGTGTCTCCAGCACAGAAGTTCTCCCATTGTAGACACAACTGGTCCTCACAGCCAATTGACCTGGAGGTCAATTCCTATCAGTGATACCAACAGCAATCAAGGCTTAACTACAATAAGACTGTGCACACAGCCCACAAAGGGGTGCACCAAGAGTGTCCACCTCAGGTAATTAGGGAGGCTGAGCCACTGGGCCCTATAGGACACCTAGCACATAAAGCCACTCTATCAACACAGGGAAGCAGCCAAAATGCAGAAAGAAAGAAAGGTCACAAATGAAAGAAATGGAGAAAAGCAAACTACTGGATATAGAGTTCAAAATCACGGTTATAAGGCTACTCAAGAATCTTCTAGAAACCTCCGAGAAATATAGCGAGACCCTCAAGGATATGAAAAAGGACCAATTAGAAATTAAGCATAGAAGAGAAACCAAGATGGTAAACACCGGAAATTGCTGCCTCGCACAACCACTTCAAAAATACAACTAAAAGACAAAACGGACATCATCCAGAACTACAGGAAGGCTGGCTGAGTGGAAATTCTACAACTAGAAGGAAAGAGAAAAGCACACTGAGACTCAGAGGAGGTGCGGAAGTAAAGTGCAGAGGTACGGAGGCTCGAGTGCGCGCGCGGAAAGGGGCTGGCACCTGAGGACACGGCTGTCTTTTTGAATCGGGAGGGAGTCACAAGCTCCCGACTGCTCTGAACTCCGGTTCCGGGAAGTCTCTTGGGACCCAGGACTCATACGGGGAGAAACTGGACTGTCTGGCAGCAGGCAGAACTCGGAACTTGAGGGCGGCTTTCCCTCAGAGGTGCTTGCAGCGATTACCGGGACACTGAGACACGGGGCCCCTTAAGGGCAGGGCTGAGGATCAGCCATAGCTGCTTGCCCCGCCCTGATGATTCCGAGACCCCGCCCCACCCAGGCCTTGGCAGAGGCTTTTGCATATGAATGCCCTGGCCCTTTGCAACCTGAAAATTACCTAACAAATTGCAGCTGGCCCAGACAGACCCAGAACTTCCAAGAGAAGGCCCAAGGCCCCACAGCAGCTTGCACTGCTTCAAAGCTGGGCCTCATCTGGGCACCTCCAAACTCCAAAAAAGGAAGGGGAATCTGCAGATCTCTTCGTAGCTCCTGCTGGGTAACCTTCAGGCAGAGGCTAAAATAGTACCTCCTTAGATCCAAGAGCCAGTGTACCCAGTGGTCAGAGTGGGACCATCCAGATTACAACTCCTCAGATCCATAAGAGACACACTCAGGGGGCAGACTCAGTGAGCACCAAAGCCCCACTGAAGCAAGTCTTGCCCCAGAAGGGTGTCTCCAGCACAGAAGTTCTCCCATTGTAGACACAACTGGTCCTCACAGCCAATTGACCTGGAGGTCAATTCCTATCAGTGATACCAACAGCAATCAAGGCATAAGTACAACAAGACTGTGCACAAAGCCCACAAGGGGTCGCACCAAGAGTGTCCACCTCAGGTAACTGGGGAGGCTAAGCCACTGGGCCCTATAGGACACCTAGCACACAAAACCACTCTACCAACACAGGGAAGCATAAAAAATGCGGAGACAAAGAAACAGGTCACAAATGACAGAAATGGAGGAAAGCAAACGACTGGATATAGAGTTCAAAAACACGTTTATAAGGTTTTTCAAGAATTTTCTGGAAACCGTCGATAAATTTAGTGAGACCCTGGAGGATATGAAAAAAGACCAACTAGAAATTAAGCATACACTGACTGAAATAAAGAATAATATACAGAGATCCAACAGCAGACAAGAGGATCCCAAGAATCAAGTCAAAGATTTGAAATACGAAGAAACAAAAAATACCCAACCGAAAAAGCAAAAAGAAAAAGAATCCAAAAATACGAAGATAGTGTAAGGAGCCTCTGGGACAGCTTCAAGCATACCAACATCCGAATTATAGGGGTGCCAGAAGAAGAGAGAGGGCAAGATATTGAAAACCTATTTGAAGAATTAATGACAGAAAACTTCCCCTACCTGGTGAAAGAAATAGACTTACAAGTCCAAGAAGCGCAGAGAACCCCAAACAAAAGGAATCCAAAGAGGACCACACCAAGACACATCATAATTAAAATGCCAAGAGCAAAAGACAAAGAGAGAATCTTAAAAGCAGCAAGAGAAAGAAACTCAATTACCTACAAGGGAGTACCCATACGACTGTCAGATGATTTCTCAACAGAAACCATGCAGGCCAGAAGAGAGTGGCAAGAAATATTCAAAGTGATGAATAGCAAGAACCTACAACCAAGATTACTTTATCCAGCAAAGCTATCATTCAGAATTGAAGGTCAGATAAAGAGCTTCACAGATAAGAAAAAGCTAAAGGGGTTCATCACCACCAAACCAGCATTATATGAAATGCTGAAAGGTATTCTTTAAGAAGAGGAAGAAGAAAAAGGAACTCTTACCATTTGCCACAGCATGGATGGAACTGGAGAGTATTGTGCTAAGTGAAATAAGCCAGTCAGAGAAGGATAAATACCACATGATCTCACTCATTTGTGGAATATGGTGAACAACATAAACTGATGAACAAGGACTGATCCAGAGACAGAGAGGCATTGATTGGACTGTCTGGCCTTGGAGGGAAGGTTAGGGAGGGTGGGGGTAAGGGGGAAAGATCAACCAAAGGACTTATATGCAAGCATATGGGCCTAACCAATGGACACGGAAAACGGGGGGTGAGGGCATGAGCGGGGGGGGGGGGGCGGGTAGGGGGTAACGTGGGGATAAGGACACATATGTAATACCTTAATAAAAAATAAAAAAAAGAAATTAAGCATACACTGACTGAAATAAAGAATAATATACTGGAGGAACCAAGATGGCGGCATAAGGTATAGACCTGTGCGTGCTGCCTCCCACAACAACATTGAAACTACCAACTATAAGACAAAGCAGCTGTCATCCAGAACCACGGGAAAGATGGCCCAGTGGAAGTTCTACAACTGGAAGGAAAGAAAGAAGAGCATTGAGACTGAGTAGGAGGTGCAGAGGCGCCAAGAACAGAGGTACGGAGGTGCGCACCAAGCGGGCTGCAACTGGATGCGCGGTTTTTTTCAATTGGAAGGGGATACAAGCTCTTGAATCCACTGAGCCTGTTTGGAGCGGGATTCTGAGGTCCCAGACTCCTACGAGGAGGGGCTGGACTGTCTTGCAGCAGGTTGGAGAGCGAGGGTGGCTTTCTGGAGGAGCTGCTCGCAAGGATCATTGTTGCTGTGGGGGCACAGCACTCGGGGATGCGGAGACGCGGAGTCGCAGAGATGCTGTCGACAACCATTGCTGTTTGCTCCGCCCTGGTGATTCTCTGAAACCCAGCCCTACTCAATTTACATCCCCACCCAACCTGTGCCAGTGGCACAAAAGGAACCACCTGCGCTTTTGCAGCCTAACCCAACAAACTGCTGATTTCAACTCCTCGCATCCATAAGGGACACACTCAAGAAGCAGACTCAGGTTCGGAGGAAGCTGGAACCGGACCCGGCTGGGCTGGCGGCATGGAACCGCTGTACCAGCAAACACACAAGCAGGTCCACCAGATCCAGTCTCACATGGGACGCTGGGAGAAGGACAAGCAGTCTGTGTACTTAGTAGAAAACGAAATCCAAGCAAGCATACCAGATATTCAGCCAGCTAGAACGCCTGGAGATTTTGTCCAGCAAGGAACCTCTCAACAAAAGACAGAATGCCAAACTTCGAGTTGACCAGTTAAAGTATGATGTCCAGCACCTGCAGACTGCTCTCAGAAACTTCCAGCATCGGCGATACGCGAGGGAGCAGCAGGAGAGACAGTGAGAGGAGCTTCTGTCTCGCACCTTCACCCCCAACGTGGGATGCGGCGCCCCCTGTGAGGCTGCATGAGGCTGCAATGCCCCCTGAGAGGCTGCATGAGGCTCTGACGCCCCCTGAGAGGCTGCATGAGGCTGCGATGCCCCCTGAGAGGCCGCATGAGGCTCTGATGCCCCGAGAGGCTGCGGCGACCCCTGCGAGGCTACGTGAGGCTGCGACGGCCCCTGTGAGGCTGCGTGAGGCTGCGACGGCCCCTGCGAGGCTGCGACGGCCCCTGTGAGGCTGCAACGGCCCCTGCGAGGCTGCGACGGCCCCTGGGAAGCAGGCGGAACCGCGCGAGCCGCCCAGACGGCTTCGTCGATGGCCCGAGAACCAGCTTGCAGCCCCATGCACAACTATCACCCGAAGGGCGAGAGGGGTGAGAGCAGCTGTAGTGTTGCTTTCTCCTCACTTTTGGTAGTGAAATCCTCATTTTAAACATAAGAGGATACATTATTTTAAAAAGCCGTAACGTGGCTCCTCACCCTTTCTGAGTAGAGCGTGAACAAGTCGTGAGAGACCTTTCCGAGCACAGGAACACGTTGCGGATGGAAATAGCTACAGTTTCCATGTGTATGACCTTTGACCTGGCGACAAAAATCATACACCTATAGATGAGGACGGGGGGTGGTAAGGGCAGAGGGTGGGGTGGGAACTGGGTGGAGGGGAGCTATGGGGGGAAAAAGGGGGAACAACTGTAATAATCTGAACAATAAAGATTTTTTTTAAAAAAAGAATAATATACAGAGATCCAACAGCAGACTAGAGGATCCCAAGAACCAAGGCAAAGATTTGAAATACAAAGAAGCAAAAAAACACCCAACTGGAAAAGCAAAAGGAAAAAAGAATACAAAAATATGAAGATAGTGCAAGAAGCCTCTGGGACAACTTCAGGCGTACCAACATCCGAAGTATAGGGGTGCCAGAAGAAGAGAGAGAGAAAGATATTGAAAACCTATTTGAAGAAATAATGACAGAAAACTTCCCCTACCTGGTGAAAGAAATAGACTTACAAGTCCAGGAAGCGCAGAGAACCCCAAACAAACGGAATCCAAAGAGGACCACACCAAGACACATCATAATTAAAATGCCAAGGGCAAAAGACAAAGAGAGAATATTAAAAGCAGCAAGAGAAAGAAACTCAATTACCTACAAGGGAGTACCCATACGACTGTCAGATGATTTCTCAACAGAAACTATGCAGGCCAGAAGGGAGTGGCAAGAAATATTCAAAGTGATGAATAGCAAGAACCTACAACCAAGATTACTCTACCCAGCAAAGCTATCATTAGAATTGAAGGTCAGATAAAGAGCTTCACAGATAAGAAAAAGCTAAAGGAGTTCATCTCCGCCAAACCAGTATTAGAAGAAATGCTGAAGGATATTCTTTAAGAAGAGGAAGAAGAAAAAGGTAAAGATAAAAGTTATGAACAACAAAGTGACAACAAATACGTATCTATCAACAAGTGAATCTAAAAATCAAGTGAATAAAAAATCTGACGAACAGAATAAACTGGTGAATAGAATAGAATCGGGCATAGAAAAGGAATGGACTGACAATTCTCAGTGGGAAGGGAGTGTGGGGGGTGCAGGAAGAGTCTGGCCAAAAATCATACACCTATGGACGAGGACAGTAGGGTGGGGGGTAAAGGCGGGGGGGGGGGGGGGGTGGGAACCGGGTGGAGGGGAGCTATGGGGGGAAAAAGAGGAACAACTGTAATAATATGAATAAAGATTTATTTTAAAAAAATAACTTCTATGTTGTTCACATATTGAAATAGTAATATTTTTGATATATTGGATTCAATAAAATATATTTGTAAAATTCATTTCACCTGTTTCTTTTTACTTCTAAAAAAATTTTTTTATCAGTTGGTGGGACACTGAGAGGTTAATGGTGATTCACATGCATAAATATGATCAGAAGGGTGTTCTAATTTTCTCTTTACCTGCTTCCAGAAGGAATGAATGGGGGCTTTGTTTTCTAATTTTGAAAATAAAAGTAACATACACATCATAAAATAATAAATGAAGGAAATTAAAATCAGTTGTCAGAGGTGGTAGGAATAACCAGTTTTGTCCTTAACAGACCAGGGAGTGTTCACCTCCACCTTGAGAACATGTTTACCTGGATTTTGAAACTGTCCACTTTTAACAAACTTAAGGACAAAGAAAAATAAAATATTCTGAAGCTGCTTTTATTTCAAGAATTCTGTGAGCTCCACCCAGACACCAGTGGCATGGGCTTGTCCCACAGCACCCACATACAACAGCACCGTGAGGGTGCCCTCATCCGCTGGCCAGTCAACATGACTGAATCTACCATTGAGGGCTGCCTGGTTGCCCCCGAGTGGTCCCTTTGCATCTCCCACTCCTTGGGTAGGCAAAGAGCAGGCCTCAATGCCCGTTGGTCCCACACTTCTGTGGTCTGTGCCCTGTACTGTTCTCAGAGGGTATATCACCTATAGCCACCCTACTAAGAAAGGGGGCCTCTTCAGTCATAGGCTGCTCCTCTGTCCACATTGCTCCAAATGGCCCCTGCCCAGAGCCCCTGCCCAGGCAGAGTGTGGCCACGTGCTGGGCCAGAATCACAATCACTGTCCTCTAGGAGCCTGGGACCAGGCTCCAGCAAGGAGGCTAAGAGGCTGCTTCATCCATTCTGGGCTGGATCAGCATGGTGGTGGCCTGCAACGGGTAGTAGCGGCCCCGCCAGGTCTTCCAGAAGATGCCCTTCTTACGCTGCTGCCGATGCCGAGGAATGGAGTGGAAGTACTGGCCATTAAGGTTCGAGTGGCTGCAAGTACCAAACCACCAGCCTCCTGTCAGAAAAAAAGGGGACATGGTTAGGCGGGACCTAACCACTGGGGCTGGGATAGCGATGAGGCGGCATTGGACTTACACACTTTAGATGGGAGGGCTTTGGCAGTGGTTGTCAAATTGTGTCCTGAAGAACCACAGGTTGTAACAGAGGAGCCTCAGGGACTCTGGGACCCCCAACCCAATAACCATAGCTCTCATATCTGTGACCATGGCAAGTTACTTCCCTGCCCCTGACATTCATTAAAGACTTTCTATGATTGTCGTCTGTCTCATCAATTTATATTAGATTGAACCATAAAAAATTACCAGTATTCCATCACTTTTTGATGTATTTTTTATTTATTTATAGTCACCCTTTTAAATGTTTTTTAATTGATTTTTTAGAGAGAGAGGAAAGAAGAGGGAGAGAGAGATAGAAACATCAATGAGAGAGACATTGATTGACTGACTCTTGCACCCCCCCCCTCCCAGATCGAGCCCACAAGCTGGGCGTGTGTCCTGACTGGGAATTGGAATTGAACTGGCGACCTCTTGGTCCATGGGTCAATGCTCAACCACTGAGCAACACTTGCCAGGCTTTTATTATTTTTTAATCTTTACCTCAGGATGTTTTTATCGATTTGAGAGAGAGAGAGAGAGAGAGAGAGAGAGAGAGAAACATGGATGGGTTGCCTCCCTTATGCAACCCAACCAGGGTATTGAACCCACAACCTGGGTATGTGCCCTGACCAGGGATCAAACCCACAGCCTTTCAGTGCATGGGATGACACTCCAACCAACTGAGCCACACCCAGCTGCTCCATCATTTTTTGACCCACCAAAAGGGAGTTTGATGTTTCACTTCACAAGGCCTAGACTCTGCCTTAGATTTCATTAGAACAAGACGGAGTTTGTCTTGGTGGCTCTGCTACAATGTCATCTCATTGAATATTCATAATAATCCTATGGAGTAGGCACTGTGATTATACCCATTTTAAAGGTGGGGCAACTGAAGATGGGAGAGGTTAAGTCAGTTGCCCAACAGCACACAGCCAGTAAGGAAAAGAGGGTAATGGATGGAATTGTGTTGAAGGTAGGGCAGGGAAGCAGAAAGGCAGGGAGGGGAGGCCCTGCAGGCAAGACCAGGAGGGACAGAGCTTACTCACCAGAGAGGTTCTTTGCACAGTTCTTGTCCCCACGGAGGTCGTGGTCCTGGTCCCAAGTGGAGAAGGGAAGGGAGAGGCTACTGGGTGACACAGTGGTGGCACCCAGCTCGCTGGCCATGGGTGCTGTTAGCTGCAGGCTGTAGGCTGTGTCCTCACCACCCAGGCGGATGGGGAACTGAAACGACTTGGCATTGCCTTCCCAGTCCTGCAGCTGCACAGCCAGGTGGCTGCCATGGTCGCCCAAGATCAGGTGCATCTTCTCTAGGCCCAGCCAGAACTCTCCTACAGTGGGAAAGGTCATCAGTGAGACAGGGACCCACCGCCACAGCCCCCTCCTCTCCCTGTGCCTCTGGCTTTTGGAAACACCCACCTTGGGGATCTCCAAAGCCAGTCTTATAGGCTTCCCAGGGCTGATTGAAATCCACGGAGCCATCCTGGCGCCTCTGAATTATGGTCCAACCTCCATCTGCCCAGACAGGTAAAAGGTCACTAGGAGCACCCTTCTCACAGGGGAATCCAATTCCTCCATTTGGCTCCAAAACTCCAAGCCACCTCCAAACCCAGGGACAGCAATACTCCCCTCATTCATCCCAGCAGGACTGGAGGAAGGTGGTCAAAGGAAGGAATACTGTGGACTGGCCAGCAGGCGGGAGGCTCAGCCTAGGTCTTTGTCCCCAGGACTCAGCAGGGAAAGAGGGAGTGGGTGTGAGGGAGGTGGGCTGCATTTGACAGAATGACAACAGTTCCCTGGTGGACTGCCGCATCCTACCTGAGGTCATCTTGCAGTTCACCAGGAAAGGCAGGGACCCCTGAGGCTGGATCTGGAATAGTCCACTTTGCCGTTCTCCCTCTTCAAACAGCTCTTGGCAGTCCCTGGGCAGCCCTATAGGGCAAAGAGAGGGACAGGGAGATTGAGTCAGAGAGCAGTCCTGGGGGTCTCAGGAAACAGGTGTATGTAGAATCTGGGCAGTGGGCAACAGGGATATTAGAGGGCAATCCTGAGTTCAGGACACCCTCCCCTTCACTTGCATAAAGTCTTCCATGGCTCCCTCTGACCTTCCTTAATACTGACCACAAGATGCTTCAGGATTGGCCTCTGCCCCCATCCTCCCTCTTCCCACACTGCATGCCCACCTTCTGGCCACATAGCCTTCCTTGTCCCACACATCTTCCTGCCACAGGTCCTTTGTACATGCTGGTCCCTCTGCCTAGGATGCTCTTCCCTCATGCCTTTTTATGCTTCAATGTAAGGGTCCCAGGTTCTGGAAGAAATTCCTGACCCTCAGACCAGACCAGACTCCCAGAAAGGAGCATCAAGGCCTTCCCACTCGCAACACTAGGGTCATCTGGTGTTCTCTCCCCAACTCCCTCCCCTGAATGAAGGCCTCTATGAGGCAGGATAGGGAATGTTCTTGGGCTGATCCTAGTGCCACAGCAGTGCTTAATAAGACACAATG